GGGCTTCAGTTTCAGACTGAATTACACCACTAGCTTCTCAGAGATAAGAGACAAGGTGAGCAAGCGATGGGACAGAAGAGATCAGTGTGAGTTCATTTGGGGGTCTGGAGTTTTCTGAATGATCCCTCTGAAGGAGGCAATTCTCCAAATCTATTGATGAAGCTATCCTGATTGGCGTAGAGACTCTGAGCACCTCAGCCTGTGGGTGACCCTTCAGATCTTCAATGAGTTGAGCTCAAGTGGACTGGGCTGGGCAAGGTGGCAAGGATGCCCATCTTGGACCCATCTGAGTCCTAAGAATGGCATCCCAGCTCTTAAAAAAAAAACAAAAATAGTGTGGCCCAGGGCATCCAATTATGCAACTAGCAGTTGTGGCATCCAGGTCTTACTGTGCTTTTAAAAAATATATACATATTATTATTGATTTCAGAGAGGAAGGGAGAGGGAGAGAGAATCACTGATCGACGGCCTCCTGCACGCCCCACACTGGGGATCGAGCCTGCAACCAGGGCATGTGCCCTGACCAGGTATCGAACTGTGACCTCCTGATTTATAGGTTGACGCTCAACCACTGAGCCATGCCCGTTGGGAAAAATCTGCTTTTTAAGAATATTATTGTTACTCTATACAAATTTATATATATATATATATATATATATATATATATATATATATATATATATATATATATACTTCCTTTTCCCCTAATTTGCCAGGATAGGAGTCTGAATGCATTGACTGAGACTATTGTGGAGCATCGGCAAAAACTGCACCCAGGAGAAGGCCCTCAGGCTAGGTTGGGCCAGGTAAGGTTATCACACCTGTGCATCCCACACCCACATGCTTACTTATCTCCATCTCCATTGTGGGTCCTTGGCCTCACAAATGCCATGTATACACACATGAATCCTGTCTTTTACTCAGTCCTCGAGCGTCCTGTTGAAGCTAAGACATTTTCTGATAGTTGTAGGATCTGGCAGCGCCTTTCTATTGTCTTCCATTAGGAACAGCTGTGCGACAGGGTTCAGCAGCCTTGCCTGTCACTCTTTTATATGAGGGTTCAGAATAAGTAGTGCCTTTTCTTCCAAAGAAGACTGATATAGCAGGGAAGTCTGAAGCCACCTGATTTTACTACACTTAAAAGTGATCTATCTGCTCTTCTGTCCTTGGAGATTTTTTTTTCTTCGCATGTAGATATGTTACAGTAATATGCCTCGTTAAAGGTTTCTGATTAATGTTACTCAGAACAAGATGAAACCTTTCCATTTCTAACCTCATTTATTTTCTTGGTCCTGGGAAGCTTTTCTTCCCCTTCACGGTATTGTATCGATTGTTTTGGTCACAGGCAAGCTGCCTTTCATCTGAGCGACAGCAGGAAGTCAGCCTTCAGCCTCAGTGACACTGTCTATTCTCCCCTATTCTTGTGACACTCTACTTACTAAGGAATTAAAAGGTAATGAAAAATGTCAGAGACTAGTTAGAAAGATTGCAGATGGACCTATTTCTTGGTGAAAAAAAAATCCCAAAGAGAGTATGGTATGCACATATTGAAATCTTCCCACTTAACTTAAGCATGGGATTCTGTATCGTTTCTCCTAGCTAATTTATGTAAATGTATGTGTGCCCACTGTGTTCAAATTATATATGCGTGTAGAAGATTACAAAAAGCTCGAAGTTTTTTCAAGCTGTGGGGATGTCTTTCTTAAAAATGTATTTATTATTCCCCCAATTTGTGCTCTAAACATTATAAAATAGCACAAATGAAAAGAGAAATACTATGATTGGTAAACAAAGCAGCTTACATAGATAGATCTCCAGGTAAAAGGGAGCCCTGTCCAGGAACCGACAATCACTTGGTCCAGACACCTGCATACTAAGCTAAGGAGGAAGTAGGTATTGTTACCTAAGGGGTGGGGGCTGTGCTGTGTGGGCTGGGAGTGAGGAGAAGGGACTCCCTGTGGGCCCACAATGGCCATGGGGACACCTGGAGGAGGGCCTTGAAACATGTGAACTCTCACCTGGGATCCTTTCTGAGAAAAGTATGTATTTGCGAAGAAGCTGACTATGGTCAAGGTGTACACCCAGGAGCACTTAAGAATGGCCATGTGACAGAATCCCCTGGAAGGCTTGTTAAAACACAGGTTTCTAGACCCCACCCCAGAGTGTCTGATGTAGGGGGTCTGGGGTGGGGCCTGAGAATCTGCATTTGTAACAAGTTCCCAGATGAAGTCGATGCTGCTGGTCAGGGACCACACCTTGAGAACCCCAGGATAGTGTGTAGACGGTGGCTCTGAAGACCCTGAACCCAGGCCTTGGTCTTTATGGCATCAACAGCACTCAACTCTGCTTTAAGAATGGGCAGAAAACAGGTTTCTATGGAGTCAGCTTGCAGCTCACAAAAGGACACGGTCAATGGGGAGAGGCATAAACCTTTCCCGTCTCCAGCGTGGATGCTGGTTGTGCTCGGGTGTACAGTAAGAGGCAGGCCATTGCACGTGAGGGTGGTATCTACCCTGATCCATCTGGGGAAGCCAAATTGCTGTAGAGAAGACAAGCCAGCTGGAGAGCAGACCCTGAGGCTGCCTACTCCAACTGGTTCACAAAGGAGTGTGCGGAGTGGAACTGGTTGGCTCCTCAGCTGACGGCCCAGGGGCTTTGGAGCCCTGGGCTGTGCTCTGAGGTGGAGATGGAGGGCCCTTCGCCTTCTTCAGGGATGGGGGCAGCCACACAGGACTCAGTTACCACCATCAACTTTGCTAAGCAAATGCTTTGCAAGTGTGGGAAGACCAACATCTTTTTAAAAAAAATATTTTTTAGAGAGAGAAGAAGGGAGAGGGGAGAGGGAGAGAGAGAAACATCCATGTGAGAGCGAGACATAGATCGGCTACCTCTTGCACGCCCCCTACTGGGGATTCAACCTGTAACCCACACATGTGCCTTGACTGGCAATTGAACCAACAACTTTTCAGTGCACAGGACAATGCCCAACCAATTGAGCCACACCAGCCAGGGTAAGGGAGACTAACATTTTAGCAAGCCTTAGCAGTGCGTACCACTGTCAAATCCTCAGTCACTCCACAACACAGCCTACAGTGGCAATCAAATCCTGGAGTCCCAACTGTACTTATAACCCTCCCCCTATGCCCCGCCTCCATAGGGATAGTGCTCTACCCATCACCCTGTTCTCCCCTATGTTGGTAATGAGGTCTTACCCTTCATTGGAGGGTAAGAGACATTCCAACCCCTCTTATCTTAAAAATGAAACTTAAAAAACTTCAACTCTCTCAATGCAGGGCTTCCTCCAGCTCCTTCCTTTCACAGATAAGTGCCTGGAACCAGTTCTTACCTCTCGATAAACCATCAACTTGTTCCAATCAGGTCTGTCTCCACCACTCCACTGCTTCTACTCAGTTAAATTCCCAACAGGTATTTATTCAATCATTAATCTAACAGATGTCTATTGAGCCATGTGCCAAGCCTGGTTCTACATGTTGGGATGCAAGATCTGTGTCCCACAGAACTTTCAATCAGAAAGGGGAAGATAGAGAAAAACAATACACATACATGATACATAAGTAAATTCTGTGGCATGCTAGAAGTGGATGAGAGCTAAGGAAAAAAACAACAGAGCAGCACAAGGAGGGATGAGGTGGGAGCAGGGCCAAGTTCAACATGCTAGGTCCAGATCTGTGTCTGCAATTAAATTCAAAACAGATGAAAGACAGTGTATTCGCTACGATAACATATTGGATTTTTAATTGCCGGACTTCACAAAGAAATCTCATGCAAATTCCATTGAGGAAAGAACCCTGCCTGGAATTGAAAGCACAGGAAGAGTCTGCGATCTCCAAAAGGGAGCGATTTTAGGATCCAGAGAGAGTCCCCACCATTTCCTTCATGCATGTAGCCTGGCCATTCATTACATCACATGGGCACAAAGTCTTTCATTCCACAAAGGGGACTCAGGTATTGATGAGGGGCTGATGGGGTGTCTTAAAGGTGCTAAGCAGCTAGGGCTAAACCAATGAAATCACAAACAGAGCAGGCTTTGATTAGGGATAGGGATTCTGCACTGGGTACCTACCTGGTAGAACAAAATAGAGAATACAACAGGAAGGTGGAAGAAATGCAATAAACTTAAATCCTTACCATTGTGTCCTGGGTCATTTCCAACAAGCCTACTTTCCAGGAGCCTAGTTATGCAAAAGCTCAGGACAGGGGGCAACAGACACAGGGACCTCAGCAGGAAGGGCGTCCTCCCAGCACTCATTCCTTGCAATGTGGAGAGAGACTTGCACTAGGCAGGAGCAGCAAGTCTACTGCTAAGAGGCTGACAGGGCCTAAAGGTGTACCTTACCAGTTGGGGGGCGGTCATTTATCTTAACTTTAAAAAGAGGAGGTTGGAATATATCAATGTGTCTAATATTTTTTCCAGCGGAATTCTCTTTTCAAACAAAATCTTAAGCAAAACCCAGTATACAACATGTCTAACAGTGGAAGTAATCTGGCTTAGGGTCCAAGCAAGAGGCCCATTCTGCATTCTTCTCACTCCGCGACCCTGTCATTCTCTTTAGAAGCATTTCTGAGACAAGGGAGGGTCCCACAGAACATGGTCCTGCTCTTCTCTGGCATCTTGTGATTCTACAATCTACATAAACCATCAAAATTCATAGAATGGCAATGCTAACTTAAGGAGTAATTTAATTTTAAGACAAATGTAAGGAGAGAATGAAACTGGAAGAGAATAGGAAATAAATTCTGTGGCTAATGTCCAGAGTGAGTCACTGAGGCATGGAATAAATTGTTCAACTCTTTGAAAGGGAAAGCCCAGGATTCCCTGTCGAAAGAGGGGTGACAATCTTGCTGGAACATCCTCAGGGACAGGGGTGGGATGAAGGAATCTGTCATTCACCAGCTAAGAAAGCTTTAAATATACATTAAGATGACCAGCAGCTCTGCTCACAAATGCGAACAAGAGCAAAGGTCGCCATGTCACAAACCTTGATTCCAAGTTCGATGTTTTCTCCTCCATACACATCCATCCCGGGGTCCAGGAGACCGATTTCACCAAAGAACTTCCTGTTGACTACGAAGGAACAGCCAATCATTGCTGGTGTCCTGTGGGAGAGAGAGACGCTAAAGTCAAAGTCATCACATACACACACACACTGGAATTTTATCCAGCTACTAGAAAAAAGGAAATCCCACCATTTGCATCAATATAGATGGGGCTTGAGGGCATTATACCAAGTGAGCTAAGTCAGACAGTGAGTGACAAATGTTCTCACATGTGAAATCTGAAAAAAAGGAAAAAGCCAAACTTGTAGAAACAGGGGGAATTGTGGTTACCATGGACTGGGAAGTGGGGGAAATGAGGAGATGTTAGTCAAAGGGTCTAAACTTGCAGTCGGAAGATGAGTAAGTTCTGGATATCTGATGTATAGCATAGTGATTATAGTCAACAATACCATATTATAAAGTCCAGAGTTGCTAAGAGGCTAGATCTTAAATGCTCTCACCACAAAAGGAAATGATGATTATGTGATGTAATGGAGGTGTTAGCTAATGCAGTGGTGGTAATCACATGGCAACATATACATGAACCAAATCAACATGTTGTGCACCTTAAACTTACACAGCGTTATATGTCAACTATATCTCAATTTTTATAAAAGATGCTAAAGTCATCAGTACCAGAAGCCCATCACAGGCACCATCCTGTGGGGGTGGTTCCACTGTGGCCAATGGAATAACTTGGGGCTTGGTTCCACTCTGGCCAATGGGATAACTTCCTGAAGGCCTCAGTGCCCATACCCCCATTCTCCATAAAGCTATGTTTTAGCTTCAGTCAAACTATGGGACCCAGAGCACCTAGGGATAACCCAGCACCTTTGCAGCTTGAACAAGAACAGGTCTCACATGTCATGTGAGGTCTGCAAACATGGAGAGACTGGTTCTCACTGCATGTCTGGGGACAGCTGTGTGACAGGATGGGCGCATGGGCAGTCTCAGAGAAGCTCAGAGGAGAAGAACAGATGTGTCTATCTCCTGTCCCAGGAAGAAGGGCTTTACCAGTTGGGGACTTGAAGGGAAACTGGAGAAAGGAAGGTCAACAGGAAGAGGTCTGGACTCCACATTCTGATGGGAGAGAGTGGATCAGGATGCTGGTCCTCACAGACGGGAGAAGACTCCGAGGAGACCCTGGTGCCCAAAGGGGCCAATTATAAACCACAGAGAGACTGTCTTAGCCCACAGAGAAGGGGTACTGAGCAGGAGAGATGAAAGGTACTGATAGGGTGGCCATTGGCCAGAAAGTCTGAAAACAAAGATTAATATTTTATTTTTGTATATATGAATCTTCTAGATTATTTCTTCTGGAGTAGGCTAAAGGAACAAGTTGAATTCAATGGAAATCAGAGACAAAAACCATCTGAGGCAACACATCATGGATGCATGTGCAGAAATTGATGGAATCGCAGCATTAATCTACCACATTCATGGCAATTTTGCATAAAGCATGGAACCCTGCATTGCTAATAAGGGACAACCCACTGTTACATTTTACATATTGCACTGTATTATATTATATTACATCCTGTATTGTAGTGCAATATCAACAAATTCTTTATGTCTTTTCATCTCTGCTTCCAGACATTCTACGTACCCTTGTATAATAAATCCATTCAGCAAATATTTTCTCAGCATCTACCATATCAAAGGCATTTTACTGGTGCTGTAGGGGGTAGAAAAACACACAATATACTTCCTGCATTCAAGCAACTAAGAGTCATCATCATTATTACTATATTATTATTATTATAGCAGCTATTTATTGAGTAATTACTATGTCTCCAGCACAGTGCAAAGTACTTTTTCACACACTGACTCATTTAAAAACCACCACAGCCCTGCGAAGGAGGGACCATCTCCACTTAAGAGCCAAGCCCCGTGGGGATTTAGTGGCCTGGCTCTGAGTCACAGAGTAGGGCTCAGAGACCACTCAGCTTCAAAGCCTACTGATATGTGGCCCCCTCCAGCCAAGGCTCCATGGAGGAGCTGGCAGCTCCCAAACTGCCAAACCCCAGACGTGCCAAAGAGACATCTCACAAGGAGGCCCGGTGAAACTCCCCTGGGCCACTCAGAAGGTACTCGGTGTCATTCTCGGAAGGTACTCGGTGGCATTCTCGGAAGGTACTTGGTGGCATTCTCTGGAACTGAACTATAGACCTCAGCCTCAGATCCTCATCAGCTCCTTCTGAGCTTGACTTTGACCTCAGTGTCCAGATTTCTAACTCCATGGAATTCCTCCCACTACCCACGAGCCAGGGCATCAGTGGGGCACGCTGGAAATAGCAGTGTTCAGAGTTGAAAGAACCCAGTGTGAATGCTGGCACTGCCACTGAAAACAGTACTGGGTTAGGTTAATGGAGCACCCTGGGTCCCAGTTACTTCTGTACAGCGTGCTGCTGTGAAAAGATGTGAGATGAGCCCAGCACACAGGGCACAAGCTCAGCAAATAATGCTCCTTTGCCCTCTACTGAGGCTCATCCAAGCTTTTCCAGAAACCTCCTAGCTATCATACCTGTGTACATGGGACACTGCCCTCTACTGGTGCGGCTGTGCCACCCCAGCTACACCAGGGACAGCAACCACTCACTGTCAATCATTTCCTCCAGCCCTTGACGCCTCAAAGCAGCAGATCTGCAGCCTAGAAAAGCACTGTGTGCGCCTAATCTCCCACATCAATCAACCAAACCTAAACAGCCAATCAAATTATGGTTTTGCTGAAACTTGGAATTGAGGCAGTGCTGGGTGCTAGAACTAGGTGGTCTCATCCAAATGCAGGGCAGGCCACCATAGGGGACAGCTCTGGTGCATGTGGACGATGGCACATAGGGAGCAAGGCAGGTACACAGCGGAAGTGTGAGGCCAGGGGGTGGGGGCTGCCTGATGACTTCAGCTGCCCATTTGCTGAGATGTGTGGCTCCATTCTCTGCCCAGGGGCATGTGAGAGCCCCCTGTCTTTGTGGTCTGTCCTCCTTGACTTAAACCCTGTTAGATAGGCTTCTGTTCTTGCCACCAAACTGTGATGATGACACATATGTCCCCTCCCACTTATGACCCAGGGGCTGGGTGGGGGTGGTAGCCCACGGCCAGGAGAGGCAAACGTCAGGGAAGATTCATTCTGGGAGAGCTAAATGCCAGCGTCCACCCTTGTGATGGAGAAATGCCACAGACACAGTTTTCTAAAGAGTAATTGCTGGGCTCATCAAGACATTCTGGTAAGTCACAACAATCCCCCATAAAAGCTTGTGCCTGGTATCTAGAATTGTCTGATGTTAACACCCATGTGAAACTAAGATCCTCCTCCAAGACTCTATACTCCTAACCTCTTAAAGGCAAGCAGGGCAGTTAAAATCGCAGGGCACAGTCAACAAACACTCTCAAAGGGTAGCTTTGGACGCTGCCTCATGGTGAAAGCAATGTTTTATTAGTTAAGGTATTACAAATGTGTCCTCATCCCCCCCCATTAACCCTCAATTTCTTAATTTGTCATTGTATTCCCAGGAGCTAGTGCCTTGCCTGACATAGAGCACTTGTTAGATCCTATTGAATAGATAAATGAGTGTAATGATCGCGGTGTCTGCCCCTGGTGGGGAAGGGCTCCATAAAGGCTCAGGGATAGCTGTCTGAACTGAATCAGAAGCCAATGACAGCAGGGGGTGTGCTGTAGCTAGGGCAGAAGGATGGAGGAAGGGGGAGATGAAAGAAGGGCAGAGAAGAAGAGAGTGGGAATAGTGCGAGGTGAGGTGGAGGACGGAGGGGAGGAAGAGAAAGGAAAAGAGATGAAAGTGCTGGAGGAAAAGGGGGAGAGGTGGGAGGGAAGGGTCTAAAGCACAAACTTTCCCAGTCAAGGAGGGCAGACTGGATTCCTGTCCTTCCAGACCCTGTCAGATTGCCTTGGGAGACACCTTCCTCTGTCAAGCAGCCTGGCATTTCCATAGAACTGCCTTATGGAAATAGCAGGCTAGTGTTGGTTATGGTGGCGAGAACAGAACTCATAGTACGAGTGCCTTGGGTCCTCTATGGGCTGGGTACTGTTCTGTTCAGCACATTTGACCAGGTTCCACCTCAGAAGCCCTGGGATTCCTCATGACAGAACCAAGAGGTCCCCTGGGGCCTCCTCATAAAATCCAGGCCTCAGCAGATGCCCTGGCTGACACAAGGGTCCCCAGGAGGCCATGGCAAAGCAGGCCTCTGTCTGCCTCCAGGCCGGTATCAGAACCCAAAGATGAAGGACAGGAGGTGGCTCCTAATGCAATGGGAACATGGAATAAACATGTGAAATGATCCCCTAAAAGCCAAGGTCAAAAGTCTGCCACTGTGTCAAGAAAAACACAACTGACGGGGACGGTGAGAAAGAGGCTGGCAGCTGCCTAGAAACCAGCCCTGGAGGGAGGCGGCCTCCCCACCGAGCCAAGACCCCAGTCCTACAAACAGCAGGTTCTGAGGCCTGCCCTACAGTGCAGGCAGCTAATGGATAATGGTGAAGGTGGAGTTTAGATAACTAAGAGACATGTCTTCACCTACAGGTGCCGATTCTGGAGCTACCTGACTGGCTCACAGAGAGTAGCTGTCCTCTGTAGGGGGAGAAACAGGTCTCCAACAGAAAGCCACCTCCGGGCCACACCAGTTAGCCAGGCTTGTCCTCATAGTCAGCCAATAGCCAGCGTGCCCACCTACCCCTCCAAGGCTCCCTCGATGCCTGCCCAGCCACACGAGGCACTGTCAATGGCCCTTCAGGGTTAAGATTCTGGAACATGAGCCTATAGCCTCATTCTTCACACACAATGGCGGCAATTACCACCATTCATGCAAATATTTCCAGTCAAAATCACTCAAAGATGATCATCATATTAAGGGATCTGCCAAAATCTAATAGCTCCATTACACACAAGAACAGAAATGAAAAGTAATCACTCTTATTGTTGCTGTTGCACAGAATATATGCAACACACACAACCTTTCCTGCTGAGAGAGATGAGCAAGGAGCAAAGAGAGGGTAGCGATCCCAGGAACTCTCACCAAGATCTGCAAGATTTTCTCAATGCCAACAC